GTGTCTGCGCCAACACCTTTGGCCCTGACATACGAACCGGCCGCCTCAACATCAGTTGGACAGCCAATTCCAGCTGAGTTGGCCCAGGCCCTAACGGTGCCTGGTCCGACGACAAGCCAACCTGTGGACACTGCTGGACCTGCCACAGCGGACAGCAGCAAAGAAGTTCCACCGCAGGACGTCGAAATGGACGTGAGCCTGCCTGATAAAACCCTCGAGCTTTCGCCGGAGAAGCCGGCTGAAGCAGAGTCGATACCAGTCCAACCGGCTGGTGAACCGACAAGTCCGATGGCTGTTGATGCGCCAACGGCGTCATCACAGCCTACACCGAAGCCAATTGAAGGCGACACATCAAGTGGCACCCTCGTTGTCCGGCCAACGCCTAGGAAATCGACAGGAGGACGGCCAGAACCGGCCACTCCTGCCACAACAAGTGGCCCACAGTCGCCTAGATTTAAGAAGAAGAAGAGGACTCCCCCGGAAGCGGAAGAGCCTCCTTCACAGCAGTCACTCCCACCTTGGCGAGGGCCAAGAGAAAACTTGGAGTCGAACCGCCCAACAAGGCCCACTCTACCAGAGCGGAGTGGCCCGCCAACGGACACAGATGTTCCTGGCCCTACCAGGCCAGGCAGGTCCATACTTAAACCAAAGAAGGCGGAACCACCGACTTTAGTACTTCGCGGTCTACCGACCAAGAAGAAGTCGCCGCCAAAGACTTTTCCTGGCAAGGGACACGTGCTCTCCCCACCGGAAGCACCAAAGATTCCGTCAGGAACGACACAGCCATTGCGGGACGAACCTCCAACGAGGCATCGTATCCGATTAACTCAAACGGAGTCATGGGACGACCCGCATAACCGGCTTGTAAGCGAGATCATAGAACTTGATCTACGCTTAAATCTGACTGAGGAAGATATGCGCCAGCGACTACGCGCCGGCGATCCTACACTAACGGACCGAGAGATTGACCGCACCAACCGCGGCTGTCAACAGATGGTCCAAGGACGTACAATCCTCATCAGAAAACTGATGGCCATGCGAAGTAAAAGCCAGGCCCTTCGCCAACGCAAGTTGCCTAGCGAAATCATCGAGCATGCCATCTACATCCGTGGCCCTCACATTAACCCAAGGGCATGGACAGTTGAACCCCGCCCACGACCAGGCCAGCCAGTGGAAGACGAACTTCCACCGGAAGAGGCAGAAAGTGAGGACGAACAGCCTCAACTGCCTGCGGCCTTCTGGGGCGTCTCCTCCAGCGAGGAGTCGGAGATCGAGGAAGACTTGGACGAAAACGTCCAAAGGGCGTTATATGAGACCAGTCAGGTCCGGCCACCTTCAACGAAGGAATCGCCACGCCAAAGCCGATCTCCATCAAAACGGACTTCTCCTGGACGCGCCACATCAACTCCGGCGCGAATGCCCAGCATGCCGGCCATCGAACCGGCGCCTGCCAGGTTCACACCGAGCCGGCCAGGCAAGTCCCCAACCAAAGAGAGGATACAATACCTCCTCCAGAGCCAACTATGACCATTACTGTGGAACGAGTCGCAGCACCTACGGTGTCTGCAGGTTCAACACTTGAACCAGTAACGGTCACGGTTAGGACTCCTGCACCAGTGGTCGCACAATCGGCCAGAATGATGGTGCGGATAACTCCGGCTGTCTCGGCCCAAGAAATGGAAGCCGACGCGGCCTTGATGCCCATGAGTGCTCTCACTCCTATCGAGCAGAGACACTTACTGATCCATGCTGACCATAATGAGCGCCGGCAATATCCGTTCCTGCTCACAAAGAGACAGGAGGCCAAGGAGCAGAATCGTATGGAAGAATACGACATGATAACCGAAATGCTCCGATCCTTGGTCCTACGGATGATAGATGATTACCGGCGCCGTCGCAACCAGAAAGCCTTTCCCCCACCGGAGGAAGACTTTAGAATGGCTGAAACCCTGTCGTCAAATGCGCCACCAACCGTGGTACCGCCAAAGACGCAGGCACAACCACCAGCGGCTTCAGAGCCAATGGACACTTCTCCGTCTGGACCTGTGGCCACAGCACCACAGCCAGAACCAGCCCAACCGGAGGAGCCACCGAAGGCCACTTCGTCGGCACAAGAATCGGCAGGCCAAAGTCAGTCCGGAACAGGGCCAACGGCCGCTGCTCCGATAAACTTGACGAACATGCCTGCCAGCATCGACGATATACCTTTTGGCCGCCCAGCTACCTTCCCTGCAACAGGGACAATGGAGAATTTTGCACTCGGCCTGGGTGTGATTCACTCAGCTAACTCCCAACGGAGTAAGCAGCCAAGAAAAGCCAAAAACCCAGAGAGGGCCAAACCGGCCTCTCGTCCAACTTCTCCACAACCGAGGGCCAAACCGGCCACTCGCCCAAACTCCCCTCAACCAAGTGGGAGTCAGGCGGCCACATCTCGGCCAACATCAAACCCAGAGGCCGAACGGAACCGCCAGAAAAAACAAGCGGCCAAAGACAAGAAAAGTCATGAGGCCAAGATCGCCCAGCTCGAGAAACGGCTGTCAGGCGATGAAGACGTCCAAGTCCTATCGGACAGTATGGACAAGTCACAAGAGCCAGCACAATATCGTCCATGGCAAGAAGAGGAATTCGAGCCAGTTCCCGAAGGTGAACCGCCTTCGGAGGAAACAATGCTCCCCGCGCCGGCGGACGACGAAGCTGAGCTCCCGGATCCTGGACCGGAGGCCACGCACATTGAGATCCCAACGGGTCCATATGTGCGCCAATGGGTGGCAGCGGCCAGGATCATGAGACGTACAACAGGAAGAGACATGTACCAATGTCTCGTCCGAGTTCTCCGAGCCAGAATGGCACATGGAGAAGAATTCAGAGGGCTACCGCCAGCGGACCGTGTACTAACGGCACCCTTCATGCGGCGTGTAGTAACTCTCATCCTGGACATGGGACTTCTGGTCCGCACGCACCGTGACTGGACCAGCATGATGGAGCTTCACGTGCCTCATCGGCCAGCAGGGCTTTCCCGTAGCCGGGATTACGCCTTTCACCAGATATGCAGGACCATCGCTTACCTGCACAACCCAAGAGGCTCCAACTTGGTCGACATAGTCAGGACCATTAACGCTCTCTACTACAAAGGAGAGGCGGACCAGGAGAAATTGGAAAAGATCATTCTTGACGAGCTGTTAGCACTGGTTAAGGATGGAACCCTGAGACGACTAACGCCTACCGGGCAGAGCCGATCCGCTTCACTATTCCCGGGTTCATCCCGCAGAAGACCCAACGGTCTCTGTATGTGTCACACGACGTGGGCACAAAATGGGATCCGGACAGAAAGAAAGCGGCGGGACCGCCGAAGGACAAGTTGACCGGCAGAGCCAAGGAGGCATACTTGATCTCCCAAGTGGCCAAACTGCCAGGCCCAAAGAAACTGCCGGTAGAGAAGCCTCCTCGACCATCCGTCACAAGACGAGAGCTGGCTGCACGCCAAGAAGCGGAAGACGAGATGCACGCAGCCGGAATTCGGCCCGTGCCCAGGGACACAGTGTCACTGCCTAACGCAGCTGGCCGGTCCAGACCTCCTTCGCCAGCCTTATCGGTCACATCCACAAAGAGCCGAAAGGCCACGGCCACAAAGAAAAGAGGGAAAAAAGATCCCTCACCGCAGCCAAGCGACTCGGACTCTGAGGACTCACAACCAGAGGACTCAGAGGATGACGAACAAGAAGAGCCGGACCAGGACCAAACCATGGAGTCCCAAAAGTCCGACTCTGACGACGATGATGACCAAAGCCCTGGTAAACTTACCATGGACCTCCCACCGGACCATGATATGGAAATACCACCCGGTGATGAGAACAAGCCACCTAGCGGTGATCAGGACATGGAGGACCAGGGCGGCGCAGAAGGCGCCGGTCAAGACCAAAGTGGCGCAGACAGCGCCGACCGGGAAAGTCAGGCCAGCGTAGAAGACGCTGAGCCGAGTGGGAGCGGTGCACAGCCCTACCGGGACAGAGTGCGAGACTCCACCTCACCAGAATCAAATGACGGTGAGATCCATTGGACTTTACCCGACCCATGCCCGGCCAAACCGCGCATAGACTATGTGCCGCCACCGAGAACCACAGTGGCGAGGAAATGGCCCAACGGAGACCCTTCAAAGAAGCCGAGGATCTCCAACACGGACGAGACATGGGCCTATATTAAGGCAGCCTTAAAGGCGTTGTCCCAAACGGGTACAACTCTTGCAACAGGAGGACTGGCCTTCCAACTTGTCCAGAAATGGAATGGCCCACCAGTCTCAAAGTCCAAAGTGATGAAATACATCCAAATGGCCTACGAACAAGGAGCCATTCTCCGGACCCATCTGCCCAACATGCAGATGTTCTACACGTTTCCACCGGAAAGACGTGATGATGCGCCTCAAGGCTATTGGGAATGGCGAAATGCCATCTTGGCGGTACTAACCACCACGCAACATCCCTTGGGCCTGACAAGAGGCGAAATGGCCAACCAACTCCTTGGACGATACAACGTCCAAATCTCGACGTACGATCCCCAGCTGAGTCACGGGAATGAATATCCCCTTAGTCGCCCGACCGGGTTGTACTACCTTAGCGAGGACGTACGATACGTCGTTAAAAAGATGCTACGCGAAGGCTGGCTCGAGCAGACCGTTGACGAGCCAGAGGCGCAGCAACGGTACCGGATGAAAAAATAACCCACCGGACCGCTATGGCCCTCGTCCCACCGAATCCGCCACCTTGGCCTCAACCAAGCCCAAGAAAAAGCGGCGTGTCCATCAGTGACCTAGGCATAGAATTTGCATAGGGTCTAGGGGGTGATCCCTAAATAATTCACCGGGCAAGAAAAGCCTAGTTAACAAATCACATGTAAAATCATAGGGACGTAAACCATAGGGCGTAATTATCATAGGGACCAGTCATAAAAGTGGACTTGACCTTATTCTGCAAGTTTCATTTCTGTTACCACAGAGAATGGGGGCTTACACCGCAGCAGAAGTACGAACCGCGATGCTCGGACTGCAGACGCAACAGCGGCGATAGCATGACACATCCTCACCGCCGGGACAATTCCTCACGGGAGTTGTTCCCCTGCGCATACCACCTGCGACCGGGCTTCCGCGATGAGAACGACCGAGCCTACTGCTTCTACCTAGAAGTGGTGAGAGGCAATTTTGACGCATACTGCCATATGACCAGCCGCGATGGAAGCCATCTGTTCCCCCTACTGAGGGACCATGAGCAGATAGAGATTTACGATCTCTATATGCAACGCAGTGGCGCCCGACAACCTGGCTGGAGCAGTACTGGAACCCAGATTCCTCCACTCAGCCAAACGGCTCGAGAACGGAAGGAGGAACGCGATCGGGAACGTCGAGCCCGTAACTCGGGTTCTGACCCGTCCTCAGGGCGTGGCCCAACGGCCGCCCCGAAAACTCATGGACACCAGCAACGGCCATCGTCAGGCTCTCAATCCTACGGATATGAGATGTCCACACCGACGACATATAACCAGATCCTGGAAAACATCAACAAAGCTATGGTTGACCAGGTGGCCAAACAGCTGATGGAAGGTGGACTGTTGGACGCCCTGAAAGGCCAATATCAGCCAGCGCGTACAGAGCAACGTACGCCACTGGCACCGCTACCGCGGAACCCAGATGACTTACGTCATCAGATCCAGAGCCGCAACCAGGACCAGAGTGGCCGCCAAAGCCGTAGCCAGCCCGAGCGCCAACCGCGCACATCACCCGGGAAACGGAACGAAACTGAGTCCAGCCTGGTTGTCGCGCAGTCCACCAAGCGACCAGAGCGAAGTGTCAGCTCAGTGGCCCACAACATCAGTATCCAAATACCAATGGAGACTGAGGCCACATTTCCAGCGGCGGACCTACCGGTCCAGCCTGCAACATCTGGCAGCACTTCGGACTTTGATCCTTACAAGTATGCTGAGGACCAGGGTATTAACATCCGGCCACTTCCCCACCGGGTTGTGACGGATTACATCATGGGTGCCATCCCATACCCCAGGGACAAATGGGCCCAAGTTGACGCCATGGTCCAAAATCTGCAAACCTTCGTCACCCGGTCAGGCCTCGAAATGGAAATGCAGAGGAAAGAGTGGCCCCGTGACTTTAACATGAAGGACCACATTGAGAACCGAGAAGGCTACCCAATGGTCCGTGACAATGCTCTATCGAGCATCACGGACGTAAACTTACTTGGACAGCCCATCACCAGACCGGACTGGAATGACTTGTGCCAATTGCACATTAAGGACGACCAACTTGACGTCGTCAAGTATCTGGCCCAGTTTGTCCTACCGGACGCGAACGCCAGTTTCATCATTGCAGCTTGCAGAGCGGCCATAGAAATCCCATGCAAGCCAGCGGATCACAAGGATGACCCAGAAACGCAAAAATACTCCTATAACGGCACGATGATACGCATCTTTGCCTCCAGACTTGGTCATCTACACTGCCATTGGGAACTGGAAGTTGCCTACCGGCAAGGGAAAATCGTCCCTCGGCTGTTGACCCAAGTGGCTCTCCTGGGAAACCAGATCCACGAGATTGAAGCGGGAGCAAAATTCAAAGCGCCCTGAACATTTACAGGAACCGCTCTAAAGATTACCGCTATAAACAGCCAACGGACTTCGACGACAATGCGGAAGTGTTCGTTAATCGAACAGCAACCAGGAAACTTCCAACGAAGTTTCGAACCCAGCGATCCTCAACAGGATCGTCCGCACACGTCCAAACCCAGGACGTCCAACCAGACCAAGAAGTCCAGCCGGCCAGCACCTCCAGCCAAAATCAACAAAACCTGACAGAACAGGAATTGGCGGCAATGGAAGAAAGCGTCATCGACCCACTCAATTCTGGGTCGGGCGATGGCGACCAAGCCGGACAAGGAGGGCAGGGATAGGCCAATGGCCATTCCTGCATGTTGGCCCTAAACAGGGACCAACATCAGCTGGACCGGACTTGAACACCATGATGGGTGCAATCCAACGGTTGTTACCCTCGCCCAACAAACGTGGCTTACGGCCATGTACCGTTTACCTTACCGGACCTAAATCCCTGGATCTTAACCGGATTCCCCGGATAGGCTCTGGCTTAGCGGCCGGGACCATGAATTTGGCTCGGCCATCCCAGACCATCCGACGGAGTCCACTGGACCGAACTTGGCACAACGCCTAAGTTCACCGGCACGGAAAGGATCCAGCGCCCAGAATGTGGCGACGGCCCGCATAGAAGTTGCGACAAGCCGTGGATCAGCCTGGCCCGCATACAAGTTGCGACAAGCCAAGGCTAAGCCCTGGCCCATAGAAGTTGGACCAGGCCCACTATGCGTCTAACCGACCATAGATGGCTCACGAGTTTAGTTGCCATACCAGGCAACTGGGACAAGTGAGTTTGGGAGCCACATAGAAGTTGTGGTACACCCACTTTGCATGCCATGTCCAACATCCTCACCACGGACCGCCCAGAGGCCCATCCAAAAGATGCACCGCCCGAGGCCAAAAGAGGATGCTTCTAGTCAGCAGACCGACTCCTTTGTGGAAAACGCCTACCGGCGTCCACAACTTAATTTTTTTTGGAGTTTGGCCCGGCCAACCTGATGTTTTCGTCAGACGCCACTTAATTTTGTTATGGCCACGGTCTCAGGGAAACCTACCTGACTCATCGGACATGGTAGCCAACTCATGGCCCACGGCCAGTGAGACGGACCAACTTTGGCCCGCCATCAACTTTGGACCGTCGAAAAAACGACTAAGTCCTTTTGGCCCGCCATACACCTTGGACCGTCGAAAAAACGACTAAGTCCTTTTGGCCTGCCATACACCTTGGACCGTCGAAAAATCGACTAAGTCCATTTGGCCCGCCATCAACCGCGGACAGTCGAAAAATCGACTGTCCGCGGAAGTCTTTTGGCCCGTCCAACGACGTGGCCCACCGAGAATTTTCTAAGTCTTTTGGCCCGTCCAACGACGTGGCCACTGGAAAATCGACTAAGTCTTTTGGCCCGTCCAATGACGTGGCACATCAAAAAGCGACTAAGTCCACAACGGAGAGCCAAAACCGGTTATGCAGGACCCACTCCCCTCCAAAGGCTGCAATCAAGGCCGAACCATTCCAGAACCCTGTATCCCGGTCCAGAGCATGTCAGAGACCGAGTTTGGACCGCCCCAACGGGTTTGGCCCATTACACCACTTGGTCCTCGGACTTAGAAATTTTCCCATGTTGGCCCTCCTGGACTTAGAAGATTTTTGGACCTAGGAGCATGACCAAACCGGCATGCAAGGCCGAAACCGGTCCAAATTAGAGACCCATATGGGCCACCCAAACGGAATCGGTCCAAGCATACCATTTCGGATAGCAGGAGCACCCCTCCCGCTCAGAGGCATCATTTAAAAGCCTTTATGACCACCCTAACGGGTTTGGTCCATTTCACTACAGGAGCACCTCTCCTGTCCAGAGACATCACTCTGGCCCACCATGGACTGCCCAACCGGGCTTGGTCCACCACCATCAGGAAGGGAACAACTTGTCCTTGCGCATGCAACTGTGCCTTCCTCATACAACTCCGCTGGAATTACTTCACTGGACCCTTGTGGACATCTCTGGGAACCGTCGCCCCGGATTCACAGGACCAGACATATCCTACCGGATAAAGCGGACCGTTGACTAGGACCCCTGTGGACACAAGCGGCCCTGTGGTATACCTAGTCGGAATAAGCCTTTTGTTTCGTCTAGTTTTTTTAACCAAACCTGGTTTTTCTAGACTTTATTAACCAAAGATGATGTTTTTATTTGGCCATTTAACCAAAGGAATTGGCTTTGGGATCTCTAACTATGATCTTACTTTCTTTAATTCTCACCGGAATTGTGATCTTTTTATTTCGATGTTTAACCTAAGAGCCTTATAAACTTTATTTTTTTACTTGTTCGACCAACCAAGCCTTCAAACCCCACTGGAACCCCCAGCAACCAGAGTGCACTCCAGATTTCGGCCGTTCGGTGCACTGCACCGCGGGTCTGGAGGAAGCGACCCTACCGGGTTTAGAGACAAAGTGGCATCCGGCCCTACCGGGTATCGGATCCTGGCACCCTACCGGGTCGGCCAGGGGCAGAGTCGGAAGGTGCTCGCAGGAGCTCCCACTCCCGCCCAGAGGCATGTCAGAGACCGCTCACTCGAGGCGGTAGACACCTCTTGTGGCTTTGCTCTGTCGCCCGCCCGCACATGGCTACTCCATTCGTGCCGCGCTATTACGCTGCTTACTCAGCGTATACTTTGTCTACGCTGACCAATCAGCGCATTTCTCTGCACTCTTGGGGGTGGAGCCCTGCGCCTACGGGCGATTCCATGCTTTGCCGCATCAGCTGTTGCATACCCGCAGCACGCGGAATCATTAATCACGATTCCTCACCAGCGCACTGCAGGCACTTTTTCCAGCTTTTCCCACATTGGGTTTTCTGTTGGTTTTGTGTGTTGTTGCTTTATTGTTATCACAATAAAGGCTGTATTTGCCCCATTTCTTCCTGCTTCTGTGTCAGATCTGACAAAGCCATTACAACAACGCTCATGCGCCAGTTGTGCGTCCACCCAACTTCTCTTTGGTAAATTCTCTTGTTCAACTTATGGCAGGTTTACTTCACAATTGAGCTGTTTCAAAGCGCAAAATTCTTTGGCAATATAACTTGGAATACCGGGGAGAGCGATGGACGGGATTCAGTAAGGACAAATGGCAAGAAAGGTCATCGGTCTTCCATGATTTTTCTGCTTACCACTTATCAAGAATTTGTGCTTCACTAAAGCTCTGCTTGTTTGATTCTTATATTTCTATTTAGGATGCCCGAACCGCTTTTAGTTCCCTGTTTAAGATATCTCTACGTAATCCGGATGTCACACCCGAATATCGTAATGTTACTGATGAAATAAAGCGTCGATCCGAAAATATATTTGGCTACACATTTGCCCTGGAAGAGGAAGTAAGTAAATTAAATAAACCAGTCATTACTGTAAGCTAAACAGTAAACAGTTAGCTTTACCAGCCAATCAATCGCCGGTATACAAACGCCCTAGTCGTATCTCCATTAACAGATCATTACATATAAATAATCCCTTCTGTTTTCCTGTATTCAAGGTGAATCCATTTGCCATGGCAAACTATTATGCCCTTGTCATTTTCGCCCAGGTAATGGTCGATATACCGTACGTAGTATCCGATTTTCAACAAATTCAGTGTTGTACCAATGTTAACCAATCCGCAGTGAGCGCCAGTGTTTATTACTGATAACTTACGGCAGAGCAATAAAACGAAAGCAACGTTTTTTTTATTGTACCCTGCATAAGTAAATCTGGCTTCCAGGTAGTAAACCAAACTATAGCACTTGGGAGAAATCCCCTTGACGGGGGCGCATTGAACAGGCTCATGTGGAACCGCACATACACCATCCTAGGCCAGGATATCATCCTTAACGCTAACGGTGATCGCGAAGCGGACTGGGCACTGAATCAAATGGATGTCGAAACTGGAAATTTTGTGGTATGTAATATACAATACATTAGCGACTGTTCTTTGTCCATTAGGTAAACTGCGTTTCCGCCGGTGAACTTAAATCGGGGAGCGGTAGTCCTCACTAAAAAGGCTTAAAGTAAATTCTTTGATCATAAGCACGCATGTAGCCTTCCGTCGCTTTACTTCGTGAATGTGACGTGAAATATGTTTCACTAACGTAAGCGGGCTAATATTTTGCTGAGGATTGTCCTGTCTGTTTTTAGCCGGTTATGGAATATTCAGCCAAGCGTAAAGCTCTAGAATCATCTCGCAATCCAGTGGACAACAGCATCCGCAAAATTGTGTGGTACAAGCGTGGCAGTCCGCCTCCTAACGAGCCAAAATGTGGGTATCGTGGAACTAGTCCAGACTGTCTGGCCAAAGGTAGGTGTTTTTTTAAAGAGACTTTAACATATCTAATTTGCTAATCATTTGTTTTAAATCGAATGTGTTCGGGATTTCAGGGCAAGGTACCCAATATTCAAAGATAGGCGCTGCCGGCCGGAACCTGTTGGACAGTGTGAACGTGTTGTTAACGTGGTGATAGCATGCTTTTCACTAATGACATTCCTATTTTTCTCGGATCGGCAAACAATTTCTTCAAGTTTCGTGACGCTTTCGTTGTAACGAATCCAACGTTAATGTTTAATATGAGCTGTAAAAGCGATTCTGCCATCGCCAGCAAAATTTCTTAGAACCTGTGTGGAAATTCGTGTGTTTTACAAAGAATCGTTACTGCAGTTAATGACGCAAAAACACAATGGCAGAAAGATTTAAATGTCGCTAATTTTATTGTGCGTGGGATAATGCCATCAAACACTTCGCTTCCTTTATTTCGGTTTATTATAGCCGTAAACCAACCAGTTTTTCTGCGGAAGGAAATGTGAGAACGTGGTGGTGGTGGTGGTGACTGGTGAGCGTTTCTCAAACCATTGCTGCCTACCCTGCAGGCATATTTAAGAATAGCCGCCACATTATCCGCAGACAGATCGTCGAGGGTGATGTCGGTAAAGTTCGAAAGTATTGCCAAGGATTGTATGGGAGTATACTGTATGCCAAGATAGTGCCTTTTTCAGACAAGTTTTTCTTTTGGCTATGGCTATTTTGCCGCAGTATAACAATAGGGGTCTGAATATCCCTCAGGCTATTTTGCCGCACACTGCGCCGGAATAGCCAGTTGGCTATTTTGCCGCACTATGGTGGAGGGTAGGCACACTTCGGGACATTAGTGACAGAAATGCAAAACAGCGAGGCTGCTGGTGTTATCCGCTGTTTGCACGGTTCAAAATTGCTGGTCACTGTTTGCTGCTGTATGTAGTAACTGTTCACCGCTGTTTGTTACTGTTTGCTACTTTTAGCCACTGTTCTATGCTGTTTCTTACTGTTTGCCATAATTAATCACTGTTCGCCGCTGTTAACCGTTGTATCTGACTGTTCTCTGCTGTTAACCGCTGTTTGCTACTGTTTGCCACTGTTCTCTGCTGTTTCTTACTGTTTGCCACAATTAATCACTGTTCGCCGCTGTTAACCGTTGTATCTGACTGTTCTCTGCTGTTAACCGCTGTTTGCTACTGTTTGCAACTGTTCTCTGCTGTTTCTTACTGTTTGTCACAATTAATCACTGTTCGCCGCTGTTAACCGTTGTATCTGACTGTTCTCTGCTGTTAATCGCTGTTTGCTACTGTTTGCCACTGTTCTCTGCTGTTTCGTACTGTTTGCCACAATTAATCACTGTTCGCCGCTGTTAACCGTTGTATCTGACTGTTCTCTGCTGTTAACCGCTGTTTGCTACTGTTTGCCACTGTTCTCTGCTGTTTCTTACTGTTTGCTACTATTATTCACTGTTCGCCGCTGTTAACTGCTGTTTGTCAGTGTTCTTATCTGTTAGCCACTGCTTACCGCAGTTTGCTGCTGTTCACTACTGTTCACCACTGTTAGTTGCTGCCTTCTACTTTTTGCCGCTGTTAACCGCTGTTTGTACGCGTTTGCTGCTGTTTCTTACTTTTTGCTACTGTTAATCGCTGTTTGCGCAGATTAATGCTGCTAATAACTGCTCACCGCTGTTTGCTGCATTAACTGTACTCAACAGGTGACTGCTTCCAGTAACTATTCTTTTTCAAGAATAACCTGTATTTTGGTATTTATTAGGCAGCTAAACGCGCACTAACCTTTATTGAAGCCACACAAACAAATTGTGAAATTAGAAAATGCCGTGTTCACATTGTGTTACTTCGCCTTCGTCCGTTAAAATGTATTGGTAAACAACCTTTTGCCATCGACTTTTCCACGTGACAGTTATGCATACGGCTTATAACATGCAAAAAAAATTCTTGTCGTCTTTTTCCCATTACGAAAAGCGAGGCTTTGAAATTTCGCAGTTGGGAAAACACTTGCTCTGCAGATTCCGTGTTGATCGAAGTCCCGTTTCCGTGTATGGCGGCTAGTTTTTCGTCGGCGTTGTACTTAGTGAAGCATTCAGGCTTGTGATTACGCATATGGAACCTGTTGATTGCGTTTCTGGCTGTACAGACTTGTTTTAATGTGTCTAGATATAAAAGTTAAATTACCTGTCGATCACTTTCTGTACTTTAAACCACATTGTTGAATAAGGTGCCGGGTATGGCAGCTCTTCTGCTGCTTGTCGCAGAGCGTTCAAATGGCACATATCGTCATAACAGAGTGTAAAACGCGCATAATCTGCTGGGTTTCGCGTAGACAGCTCCTGGAACAGGTATTCCACTGTATGGAAAAACACTTGCGAAGACGATTCCGACCTACAAAAAAGTTCATCATGATAATACTCGCTTATCATTTAAGAACTATAAGATTTAACTAACCCATATAAAGGTCGAAACATTCGAATGATACCACCGGCTGTTACGAAAAACAGCCAGCCACGAGATCGTGATTTCAGATATCTGTGTTGGCCCAAGTTTTTGCGGCAAGCCAAGGTTGTGGTAAATATCTCGGCAGTGTCGCTCTCAGTTTCCAGAGCTGCTGCTACTAAGGTATCATTAAGCCTTGCTTTTCTTTCGGCTGCAGCAGTAACCGGAAGACCTTCCGCTCTGGCAATATCAATGTGCGCTTTGCAATATAAAAAGCCAGATAGCGGCTCCTCAGTGCACTGACGAGGAAATTTAAGGAGCGGGAACTTTGAATGAGTTTTCTGAAATTTTTACCGTTAGCTTGTGTGAGCAATAATCATCTGGTTGTGAAATATTACTATTTACAGTGTAACCATGTCACCTTAATGAGGAAAGAGCAGATCACGTGGCTAAATTTCCAGTTACCATCCATAGCCACAGCGTCCCTGCATCCCCTTCCAATACAGATTTCGTAATGGTCATGTGGCAGCAGTTCAGATCTAAGCGTTTGATTGAGGTCTGTCAGCGCTTCATCCCAGTCGTTTTCCGCCGTCAAACCCACGCTTAGCTTTCCCAAGCGCCGCAGATATTCTTCTATATGGTACTTAAAAAAAGCCTCCGCAAGTTGCTTACGATTGTAGTCTGTAATAATATCAGATTTTTTATATTACGTCCTGAACGTATCCCAGTGCATTACGCTCACCATCTGAAATGCCGAAAGCGTTCTGTACAGACGAAGAAAAAGCTTGAAAGCTGCATTGCTTAAAATACCTAAAAGAAAACTACTTGTAGCGGAAACCTAAATTACAAATAATCAAATATAAAAAGCGGGAGAATATCTTACATGTCACTAGTTATTAAAATGCACAGTCGTCTTGTGCAACAAAGTTCACGCGAAATTTCAACATATGGTCGCGGTGTGTCATATAAGAAAAACTTTTTCTTATCTGAGTCGAAGAATGTGGAATAGCGATAGTAGCTTTTGCAAGAACGACAGCGAAGGTTAAATCTCCAGCATTTTGTGTGAGTGCATTCGATGTCGCTGACGGTGCACTGCAAAAATAAACACAAATGCTAATTTCGGAAGTTCGTATACAAGTATTATTACTTTACCAGATCCGGAGAATCATGATGGGTGTGTAAAGCGGAAGGGTCACTTTGTTGACCGTTTTTTGATTTCCGGATTTGACGGCAGCCGTTAAGCAAACGCTTGGAAGTAGGTGGCAAAAGGATTATGGGGTCGCGGGGATTACGCGCGAACATTTCGAAAACATCGGGGTGCTTTTTTAGTTCGTTTGCAATTCGCAGCAGAGTTGACTGGTCGCAATCAAGATGCAGTGTAATCTTCTGTAACAGCGATTGGATTGAACAAACAGTAGTTATTTACTGAAGAAATGGTACGAACCTTCCAAATAGCCGGAAATTTTGAATGAAGCTGCGGCCACATTTGGAGAACACGCGCAGCCTTCCGAACATTGCTCAACCCATTACTTGATATAAATGAAGTTTCTTCGTCACACATGGCCAGTCTTTTGCCGGCACTTCAACTTTCAAAGATAAACTCGCGGGAGTTCGTTCCGAGAGCCCTTACTGTGTATTTCAAAAAAATTAAATTTGGTGCCATCAATAAATTAAATCTGGTGCCATAAATTTGTTTCCATTTGATACCCTTTTTAATCTGCTTGGTGCATCCGTGTATATTGTGCAGTGTGCATATCGCGCTATGGGAACAATGCCAGTTAATAAATAATTTGTTTTAATTTTTTTATTCTTCAAACAAGTTAGTCGCTAACATGCTATTAGTGCAGAGTACTTTTACCACAGAACTCAGAAAATTTTTTCTAGTTGGAACGCGCACACTCAGCTGTTTTGAAGCTTTGAACAAACAAATAAAAATTTAATGCTAATTGAAAAAAATCATTTATTGGCTTACTTCGGCTCTGCGCTCCACAAAAGTTTTATCGGTGACGGCAGCGGATGCGGTGGGCGCAACAGAATTATCCACAGCAGAATTAGAGGAATTAGTACGCGGCACTTGCTTTTTTGGATTCTTCGACATTTTGGCTAGTACCACATAATGATGTGTAAGTGAATTTAAAAGTAAAGTCCAAATAAAGCCTACTCAGGCTCGCGGAATATTAAAGCACGAACGTTTCCCTGACGACACTGTAGACAATGTTTTTGCTTAGCGCAAGCAGCAAGTGCAAAAGCTATACCGAAGTATCTGAAGCTTAAAATGATACACGAATGATTATAAGTAACGTAAATCACTTCGCTGATCGTCTTCACACAAAGACGTAAGCAGGTCAAAAAGTAAGCAAATGGCTAGCGCATCCGTGTGGCTGGAGCATCCGTGTGGTAGTCTGCCACTGAGATTTCCGCGAAGATCCTGTTGACCTTTTCACTAAAATGTTTATTGTGCTGTGACTCGAAAACAGTTGGAAACAGCACAGTACAGTTAGAAATAGCGAAGTACAGTAAGAAACAGCAGAGAACAGTGGACAACAGTAAGAAACAGCGAAGTACAGTTAGAAACAGCGAAGCACAGTAAGAAACAGCAGAGAACAGTTGGAAACAGTGGACAACAGTTAGAAACAGCGAAGTACAGTAAGAAACAGCAGAGAACAGTTGGAAACGGTGGACAACAGTTAGAAACAGCGAAGCACAGTAAGAAACAGCAGAGAACAGTTGGAAACAGTGGACAACAGTTAGAAACAGCAGAGAACAATGGGGTGCAAAAACAGCGGTGAGTAGTTTATTATTTTTTTTGAAAATTAATGATAGTGGTTTAACAACTTTAATAATACTTGCTTTAATATATGGTTTAATATTTCGCATTATACTGGCGTTCCATGCCGCATTATTCGATGCTGTTATGCGCTGTTTGCTGCTGTTCCTTGCTGTTTCCTGCTGTTATTCCTTAATGTCCCGAAGTGTGCCTACCATGCTATGGTGGGCGAAATAGCTTGTTGGCTATTTTACCGCAAACTGCGTTAAAACAGCTCGTTAGCTATTTTGCCGCACAATGGACGGGAACAGGATAATTATAAGGTTGATGCTGCGTGCTCGGGTGACTTCACGGGCGTTTGCAGTGTGCACGGAGTCCGGGCAAGGGTGTTGGCTGCATGTACGGCATTTTAAATTTGTGTCATTTTACGTTAACATATTGGCTGATTTGATTCTGCTTTATGTTTTATGAATTTTTTGACGTAATAACATCTTGTGGTTTCCCACGTTTTAGTCAGTCTAATCTAGGACCTAAGAAAACATAAGAAACCTAAGAAACCTAAGAAAACAACGTTAACTGTGGTCAGCTTCCATAGACCACCATGTTAAGTTTGTGGAAACGTATTTCAGTGAGGATTGATTTTCCTCACTTGAAACATGTTCAAATATAGGTGGGTGGGCAAGACACTTTCCTTGGTGGGCAAGACACTTTTCTTGCCCACCGGATAATGTGAATACACCATAGTGACAAATAATTTTGTTTTTGCGGCTCAGAGTTTATTTGACGCGGCTTTGATGCAGGTGGTTATGGTGTCAGTTGCATGCTTTCATAAGCGGGTGCCAGGTGAGTTCGCGACGGATCCAGCTAAAAAATGGTTGTTCCAGGATCCATCCCGAAAACGAACGCGGTAGTCATGGCTATCGCATTCCACTTCCCGCTGCTTTTGGCATCACTCACTTCAGTTTTATGCCCTTCATCCAGATTATAATCTTTTTCCAATTTTAAAATATAATAATTCTGAAACAAAAGAAATCACCCGTGCCCGCAGCCAACGCCCGTTCCCAAACTCCGTGCACGCAGTCAACACCGTGCGGACCCAAAAAGGTCACCCGTGCACGCAGCCAACATCCGTGTTTACCCGTGCACGCAGCCATATTGAAAAGTATTTTGTGTCATACCGCACGTTACGTTAGCATAGACGAGAGAAGATGTGTCCAAAACGACCGGTCGTCTCATACAACCGCCGGTCGTATTGGACGGTTACATACGTCTGTAGTTAGCTGGCACATTAGTCGGACCGCACCTAACAAAACGGACGGAAAACCCTCCGGGCATGCATGGACAGCCCGCTGAAAAAGGGCGAGAATCACACGCCCGCTTGGCAACCCGGCATCCCGGTGGGCACTGCGGACCAAACCGAGCCGGTGAACAAACAATACGGAGAACGGTTGGCGGAAAAAGCAGTGGGTGGATCCTAACGCGGCACGGCAGCCAGATCACCCGGCCCGGGTGGAGCGGACCAGCTTACACCAACGGTACCTCGGCAGAGTTCGACCAAGACCTCAGTCGAGCGCCTTACGGGCGAGTCGACCATACCGTCGCCGGTCGACATTGTTCGAGCCGGAATTGTTCCAGTGTCTCTAGTAGTCGGCAGCCCGGAATTGACACTGAAGGCGGACAGAACTCGACCCGACCCGAACGAACCGGTATTCCAGACGCCGGAAGGACAGCAATTCCAGAACCTTAGTGGGCCGATAAACGGACAATCAGCCCATCTGACAGTCCAGTTAACAGCCGCCCGGAACAAGATCGACCGGAAGAAGGCAACCTTGGCGGAAATGATGCGACTACTACCACCCTGAATAAGGAAAATGCGGACGTGACAGAAGACACCAACCGACTCCAAAAACGGGTGGACACTTCCGCGACCGAGAGCGTCTACCTTAGGCAGGAGTGCAGTAAAAGAACCGTAGCGATAGAGATGCTGCAGCGACAGCTTTGGACGGCAACAAAAGAAGGGACGCGTACAAGGAAAAGCCAAAAAAAATCTCTGGTCGAGTCAGCCGAGTTCATCGCATGAACCGTCAAAGTTCCGAAGGAGCAGACGGATGTATTTTTGAAATACGTCAACCTAGAACAGGAACTGGGAACAACGATACACCGGACGGAACAGCTTGAGAAACTAGTAGCCGGCTTGAAGACAAATCTGACGACAGCCGGGCGCCGCGGACTGCTACTCCGCGGCCACTTGGCTCGGTGGGAATGAACGACACGGCACTCCGGACTACCAATGCGGCGAGACGGACAAACCCAACGAAGCCGGACGGACAGTCGAGACAGACAGGAGCAGATAGAAGGCTTAAAAATCGAACGCCGCAGCCGCACGAATCCATCCTGAGTGATGAATCAAACAGGTGGTAGAAACAGGCTGACACGAGGAACCTAATCGACGTGGTGGACGACTGCGCCACATCTGACATGATGATCTTTTAATATCAGCCCGGCACGGCGCCTTCCGCATTTCCCGGTGGTCTGCTGCCACGCTCGGCTGGTCGCGTCAATACCGCGACTCTTCTTCCGTCAATTACTCCGGCGCCGTATTTCTGGCGTCTCGCCGAGGGCGGACCAATTTATGTTGGTGACAAGGAGCTTCCTCGATGTCGGCTATCGTAGTCGTAGCCGCCCTTGTCCAGTTGTCACTTTCTGACGATGACTTCGGTCCTGGGTCTGATGTCGTGTTCGCGCTAGCGTAGGCTGTCGCACCGTCCGTTCTTGTCGGCAGGGTTCATCCTCCGGTTGTCGTTTAACCGCGGCTGCCATTGTTCTCCGACAGCTTGCAAATGTGCCGGGCGAGGCTGTGCTCCGACTAAGACGAGTTGCTGTCCATACTGCACTAAGCCCGTGTGCAATACGGCCTGCTGATACATCCGGCCGACCGGCTGTCCAAATTTCATGCTTCAGTATTGCATCATGCGACGAGAATCGCCGGGACGCGAAACGCCCTGGTCAACGGGATGAGCAGGCCGATGCCGACCGAGACTAACGACACCGGAAAGAGAAGCTGAGAGTCCTGGCCGATGTTGATCGGAGCCGACACAACGTTAGCAAATCTAATAATCTCGGGAGAGCGCTGATATCGGCCAGCCTGCCAGTTCGACGGCGATATGCGAAAACAGGACGGATGGGTGTACCAGCTTTGCCGCCTACACAAAAGACACAAATTAGTCGGTAACTTAGTAATCTCTGAGTTCATTGTCGTACGTGAGCAGACTCGAACCGGACATGTGGCGGACTAGTGCTAGGAACCGACGGCAGAAGAACAGAAGGACGGTTGGGCGTTCGATGTCTGGATAACCTAGTTTACGGCTCGATTTGCCGATCAAAAGGATGATGTTAGTGCTGGCTTGTGCAGGCGACATAAGGATTCGCGTCGCCCGGACATGCATTTGAAGTAAACTGGACACCTTTCGGCCCTTCGTCTGCATCACCGCGAAAGTGCGGACAGCCCTAACCGAGCCCGCCGGGGACAGGCAGGTATGGGAGAGGCACTGGAGGATACTGCGGGAACTAAGGCGGAAACCCGGCGGTAAAGGGAATTTCAGCCAGCCGCGAGGTAGTGGCCGAAGCATCTTTGGCGGAGGTTAGCTCGGCCAGAACTTAACCGTCCAAGGAGGGTGGAATATACTCAATATAGCCGGCCAGAACTTCGGAAACCTAGTGGGCACGAATCGGCCTGGCCCGGCACGACGCTGGGGAACGGAGATGACGGATGGGTACAACGAGCAGGTAACGGAACATGCACCTACGGACGCAAACCTGAGCGATCACCTGCTAGTGCTGCATGCCGGGAAACCATGCAACGGCAATGTGTGAATTTGCGGCCGGAGACTGCAACCAGAACCCGTACCAACGCTGGTACCAGGAATGGCGCCGTCGCTAGAAAGCTGAATTAAACATCCGAGCGGCGAATCCTCACCGTCCCGGCTTTACGCTTCCACCTGGAACACGGGATGTTTGGTGGCCAGGTAGCCGGCAACGGGGTTCTTAGTATCCAGGGCAGCCCGGGGCCAGGGTGCGCCCTGAACGGAAGCCGCCCTGGGCGGCAAATAGAATAGCCGCGATTGTTGCTTTGGGGATCCTGGCAGAAACAATCAGAGAATGCCGCCAATGCGCTAGCTGCTGCCGTCCCTGACTCAGCGCCGCCGCCAATGGTGCAGCCAGGATGCATGGGTGCCCCTGTTTACTAACAGTAACAGCAGCTGATACTGCAGCCTGGAAAGTCAAGCGCTCCTGCATACCCGACGGTGGCGATAGCGGCGCCGGCGTTCCAGCCAGCCCAAATGACATATCAGCA